CCCCAAAACCCCAAAACCCCAAAACCCCAAAACCCCATTTTAGCAAACAGCAAATCTAGATAAAATAAATTTATTTTGGGAATAAAATAAAATGGATCTAAGAGAAGACCTTTCTAGCGCTCAGGGCTCAAATCTGTCCTCATCTAAGAAGATGAGCGAGGTTTTAAGTTCTAGATCTTCGAAGAAGAGAGCAAAGACACTTAATATGCAAAAAACCTTTTCAGGAGTTGACTTCCAGAGTAATAGAACATTGATGAAAAACTTTTTTAAATAAGGGGTAATCTTGACTTTCTTTTCAGATTTCTAATCAATTTACCTATAGGAAAAAGTTTCATAGCAGATTAAATGCTCTATCAAAGTAACATAACTTTTAATCTCTAGTCTCAAGGAAATGAGAGATCAGATCAATTTGATACTCCAGAAGGTGAAGATAGAGCAAAGTGCACAATTTTCTGAACTTATAAAAGAGTATTGGAACAAAGAAGGTACTTTTTACCTGATAATTTAATAGAGAAATATGATAAAATGCCTACTATTAGGGTTAGGAAAAAGAGCAAGGAGTTGGATAGGAAGCGGAAGTTAGTTCAACCATTGCGTAGTAATTATTCAAAAAATAATTCATTTACTTACTATTCAAACAACCAGCTTAAAGTGGCCTTTGAAAATGAACATGAAACACATACTATTGATCAAAGTTCAACATTCTACACTCCTAGAGTTATGAACTACTCTACAAAGAATAACTCTGGTCATAATGCATACACTACTGAGCCGAAGAATTGTGGAGATAATCAAGAATTGATGAGCTTCCAGACAATTAAAGATATAAATATAAAACTCTTTAACTCAAATTATGAGTAGGCTAATCAAATTTCTAACAAATATGTAGGACTAAGAAGACTCCAAAGAGTAAAAAGAGAGTAATCAGGGAATATAACTCGATTCAGCCATCTTCTAAGTAAGAGTTTATTTATTTTATAATTCTAGATCATCTGGCAAGAAGTTCAGTGATCTCAAGATATACCTCAAAGCTCTAAGAGATTGGTAAATTATTCATAATTCCATAGTGAAGATCAAATACACAGAAATACTTACAGAAGACCAGGCATTGGAGAGGATTATAAATCAAAGAAAATTAAAGAGATAGTCTCTCATAGTCTTTCTAGCTTAAAGACTTGTAAAAAGATTGGATCAGCTCAAAATATGGCAAATCCTCAAGAAAAGAAGAAGCTTCTTACTTATATTCAAAGCAATAAGCAGAAGTTGACCAAGAACCAGTTTTATCTTATGCACCCCAAGGTTATTCTGGATAGGAAACATAATTATGAGTCTAAGATGAGTGCAAAATCGTTCCATGAATCGTCAAATGCTTTTTACAACCCAAAGACCAATTGTAAGATATTTCCTTAACAGAATAGCAATAAAATCAGAAGATAAGAGAAAGTTTACTAAAATCGTAGGAAAATTACCAGAAAATGAAGCTACCTTTATTAAATTCTATCAGATGAAGAAAGATCTGATTCCTAAAAGGCATAGTGTGTATTTCGTAAACCAAAAGGTTGATCTGAAATGGAAGCCATCAGCCAGAGAATGTTCTGTAATGACCCATATCTTCTCTGTAAAGGAGAAGCATAAGTTCCTTGTTTATGCTGGACTCAGTAATGAAGCATTAAATGAAATCATCGAAATCAGCTTTGATGATCAAACTGGAGCTACTGAATACACGAAAATGAAAGAAGATGTGATTATTAAGCAAAAAGACAACAAATTTGGAAGATATGGCCACACCGAAGTTGCATTTGACCTAATGAGCCCAATCACAGGTGAAATAGAGAAGGTCATTGTCTACTATGGAGGGGGAGAAATGTTTAATAAAGTCACTAAAATGAGAGAATGAGTCAACCAAATGATCAAATTTACACCTTCAAAGAATGAATTTAAAACTGTAGTTCAGTCTGGCATTGTTCATACACCCAGAAGATATCACGCAGCTTGAGTTTTTGGAAAATACATGTTTGTTCATGGAGGAGTTAATAATTTTGGAAGGAATCTTAGTGATGTCCAATGTTTTGATGTTGTATCAGACTCTTGGGTCCAATCTGAAGTAGTACCTGAAAGCTTAAACAAGTACAGTGCTAATGGAGTCGTATGTCTGGAAGACCCTAGAGACGACTGGGGTCCAGGAGGTCTTTATTACCACAAATGAGCTCCTGTATTTTACCCTGAAAGGAAAGATTTCTGGGATGAAAATTTGTATAACACCAACTTCTTTCATATTTACGAAGATCCTCTTATCAAAATGCCTCCTTTAAATTGGGGAGAAGTCCACCATTACATTGCTCAAGAAGGAATCTATTTCTTTGGTGGCAAAGGAGATCTCGGAGTTTTATCGAACGATGTATGGTGCCTCAAGATCAGGCCTAAAGCTCTAATATCTAAAGCTAAAGCAAAGAAAGTAAACCAAATGATGAAGGAAGGCAAGGTGGTCGAGAGGCGTGATGATAGACTTGTTTATTGCTACTTTCAATGGGAGAAAATCCAAACCCAAGGAAAGAAGCCAGAAGAAAGATACGCTCATTGCTGTCATTACTACTCAGAATCGAACTATTTAGTTGTCTATGGAGGAAGGTCTAATGATAAAAATAACCCAATACTTAATGATCTATGTCTTCTCAGAATGGATAATTTCTTATGGATTAAAGTAAAGTATAATTCTAAAGAAGGAGATCCTCTCAGAGCAAGAGCTAATTTCGCTTCTGAAAAGATTGGATCAAAACTATTCATCTTTGGAGGAATAAAAGAAGATTTGTTGCCTTCAAATGAAGTTATAATGATGGAGCTGGACCAAGCAAGAGGAAATAAGTATTTGGAAAGAGATGAACTAGAGAAGGAAAAGTCTAAGTTAAATTTCTTAATCCACTAAGACTCTCTCATTGAACTATTTGGTTAGCTCTAGCTCCTTGCACTTTCAATTCTGCTATTGGGATTTATTAAAATCTACTAGATTTGTGAATAAAAAATTATTCAGAAATTAAGAGAAAGCGCTTTTGTTTACGAGAAATTAGGATTTTGATACTAAGGGGTATTAATACGAGAGCTGTTGTTGCTCTGAGGTTTGAGGCTTATTTCTACGGTTAAAATTTTAGCATTATTTCAAGTAATTAGTTCTTGTTTCAATTGTGAAAAGATTTGTTGGGGTTTTGGGGTTTTGGGGTTTTGGGGTTTTGGGGTTTTGGGGTTTTGGGG